CCTCGCATGCGAGGTCGGAGCGGGCGTCATCTCCTTTTGGATACTCATACCCGGGCGCGAGCCGCCTGGCCTCATCCCTAGATGGGGCGAATGACGTGTCCACACAGGACATACTGTCGTTCGGTAGCAACTAAGAAAAACAAAAGGAGTGATACACTCGTCAGTATTTCCAGTGCATGTCTGCGCAGGCGCACCTCACAATTACCTAGCTGGGAACCGTGGTGACCGGTGCCACCGCTACACTAGGCTGGCACTGTCCTCCCTCTCCTCTGTCTGACCCCACGGCTCCTCTTCTCTCATCACCCTACGTGGTGTCTCTCTCTGCTGTAGTTTCGTCAGATCTTCGTAGATGATGAGTCTGCTTTCTTACAGGTCACCGCTCCACCCTCCACCCGTCCCGATCTCTTCCTTCCTGTCCTCTTCCCTCTCACTCACCGCTCCACCCTCCACCCGTCCCGATCTCTTCCTTCCTGTCCTCTTCCNCCCGTCCTGATCTCCTCCTTTCTGTCCTCTTCCCTCTCGCTCTTCGCTCCACCCCCACCCGTCCCGATCTCCTCCTTCCAGCCTTCTTCCCTCTCACTCTCCGCTCCCTCCTCTGTTCCCTCATCGTGGATGAGATGTTTGTGTGTGCAGCAGCATTCCTCCTCCTCCTCCTCTTGGTCCTCCTCATCCATTTCTTCATGAAGCATGTTTCTCACTGCTGTAGGTGCGTCAGATGTTCGTAGATGAGGCAGCATTCCCCCCTCCCCCATACCTCCCCCTTCTCCTCCTCCTCCTCCTCCTCCTACTCCTTCTCCTCCATTCCTTCATGATGCATCATTTCTTGCTGCTGTAGGTGCGTCAGATGTTCGTAGATGAGGCAGCATTCCTCCCCCTCCCCCACACCTCCTCCTCCTGCTCCTCCTCCTCCTCCTCCTCCTCCTCCTCCTCCTCCTCCTCCTCATCGTCCTCCTCTTCTTCTTCCTCCTCCTCCTCCTCCTCCTCCCACTCCTCCTCTTTCTCTTCCTCTTCCTCCTCCTCCTCCTCCTCCTTCATTCCTTCATGACGCATCATTTCTTCTTTTGTAGGTGCGTCAGATGTTCGTAGACGAGGCGGCATTCCTCCAGATCACGGTTGAGTCGGAGCGCGTGCGAATCTTCAAGGAGTACATGCACAGCGTTGAGGAGCAGTGCATGCACTATCACGCCAAGCACAAGAAGAGCAAGAAGTCGAAGAAGCATAAGAAGGACACGGGCGATGTAAGCAGTCATGCTAGCTGTCTCTGTCCAGTCTTGGGCTGTAAGGATCTCGTATGTCCAGTTCTAGTCAGTAACTATGTCCAGTTCTAGTCAGTAACTATGTCCAGTCCTAGTCAGTAACTATGTCCAGTCTAGTCAGTAACTATGTCCAGTTCTAGTCAGTAACTATGTCCAGTTCTAGTCAGTAACTATGTCCAGTTCTAGTCAGTAACTATGTCCAGTTCTAGTCAGTAACTATGTCCAGTCCTAGTCAGTAACTATGTCCAGTCCTAGTCAGTAACTATGTCCAGTTCTAGTCAGTAACTATGTCCAGTTCTAGTCAGTAACTATGTCCAGTCCTAGTCAGTAACTATGTCCAGTCCTAGTCAGTAACTATGTCTATCCTTGGTCTGTAAGCATCTTGTATGTCTGGTTCTAGTCTGTAACTATGTCCAGTCCTAGTCAGTAACTATGTCCAGTCTTGGTCAGTATCCCTCTCATATATGCAGTCCTAGTCAGTAACTATGTCCAGTCCTAGTCAGTAACTTAGTCCAGTCTTGGTCAGTAAGGATCGTGTATCAGGTCCCTTATAGCTGAATGAAAGCCGAAATGCTAGCTCTCTCTCTCTCGGCAATGTTGACCAAACGGTGGTCTCACTGAGAAGAACTAGCGGCACAGGGTTCTTACTGACCAAGACTGGACATAGTTACTGGCTTGGCCCAGACGTACAAAATTCTTACTGACCAAGGATGGGCATAGTTACTAACTAGAACTGGACATAGTTACTGACTAGGACTGGACATAGTTACTGACTAGGACTGGACATAGTTACTGACTAGGACTGGACATAGTTACTGACTAGGACTGGACATAGTTACTGACTAGGACTGGACATAGTTACTGACTAGGACTGGACATAGTTACTGACTAGGACTGGACATAGTTACTGACTATGACTGGACATAGTTACTGACTAGGACTGGACATAGTTACTGACTAGAACTGGACATAGTTACTGACTAGAACTGGACATAGTTACTGACTAGAACCAGACATACAAGATGCTTAATGACCAAGACTGGACATAGTTACAGACTAGGACTCCACATATGACAGGCTTACTGACCAAGACTGGACATAGTTACTGGCTTGGCCCAGACGTACAAGATCCTTACTGACCAAGGATGGACATAGTTACTGACTAGAACTGGACATAGTTACTGACTAGAACTGGACATAGTTACTGGCTTGGCCCAGACGTACAAGATCCTTACTGACCAAGGATGGACATAGTTACTGACTAGGACTGGACATACAATATCCTTACTGACTAGGACCACACGTACAGAAAATTTGCTGACTAGGTTGGGGTCATACTGAATACTGAATACTAACTAATGCGGGCTGGACATATAGAATACATACTAACTAACTGGCTATATGGGATGTGTGCCTCACGTCACCACGAGGTCGTGGTGACGTGAGGAAGAGGTGTGGTGACGTGAGGAAGAGGCATGGTGACGTGAGGAAGAGGCGTGGTGACGCGAGGAAGAGGTGTGGTGACGTGAGGAAGAGGCGTGGTGACGCGAGGAAGAGGCGTGGTGACGTGAGGAAGAGGTGTGGTGACACGAGGAAGAGGCGTGGTGACGTGAGGAAGAGGCGTGGTGACATGAGGAAGAAGCGTGGTGACGCGAGGAAGAGGTGTGGTGACGTGAGGAAGAGGCGTGGTGATGTGAGGAAGAGGCGTGGTGACATGAGGAAGAGGTTTCCTCACGTCACCACGCTCCTTGTGTTTATCTCTCGCGCTTGTGTTTTCTCGCAGTATTCTGACAGCGATGAGTCGTCGCGGCACCGCGGCGGCGGCGGCGGAGGCAAGAAGAAGAAGCGTTCTCACTCACACTCCAGCTCTGACCACTCCGAGGAAGGTACGTGCGTCACTTCTCCCCTCTTCATCCATCCGCAGGATCGAGGGTCGACTGAGCCCTGACCCTGCCCCGACCCCGGCTGCACTCAGCAGAGGTCTGTAAGCCGAGCCTGGGGTGTAGGATTCTGTGTATGACGAGCAGTCAGCGCGCGTCTGCCAGCACGCTGTGACGCGGGCGGCGCGCGTCTGCCAGCACGCTGTGACCGCCTGCCAGCACGCTGTGACGCGGGCGGCGCGCGTCTGCCAGCATGCTGTGACCGCCTGCCAGCACGCTGTGACGCAGGCGGCGCGCGTCTGCCAGCATGCTGTGACCGCCTGCCAGCACGCTGTGACGCAGGCGGCGCGCGTCTGCCAGCATGCTGTGACCGCCTGCCAGCACGCTGTGACGCAGGCGGCGCGCGTCT